TTTCCGCACTATATAAGACGATATCCCCGAAAAGAACTATTTTTATGAAAATCAAAAAAATTCCTCGGATAAAAGAGCAGTAATGAAGGACAGTTAATAAATGAAATATTTTTTTTTTAAATCAATATACAAATTCGTTAAACCTGAAGAATGATATTACCTAGAAGTAGATAATATATAAGCTTTTAGCCTGTAGATAATATATCATATAAGCGTGTAGATAATATATAATATAAGCTTTTAGCGAGTAAATTCCTCTCTCTGTCTGTCTCTCTCTCTCTCGTGGTATACACAATCTGATACTTACCGGTCACAGGCATCCGTCGCTGTGTTGGTAGTATCACAGCTATGACTAGTTTGGACCAGCTAAGACCAGCTACGACTAGCTTAGACCAGCTCTGGACAAGCCATGACCAGCTAAGACCAGCAGCCCAAGTGGAGACACTCGGGTCTCCACGTTAAAAACCTGGTTACAATCTGGCTCAGTGGGGGGAGGGGGTCAAGTAAATAAAGTGTAAATTACTCTCTCGAGTGGTTTGTAAAATATTACTTATCATCTCTCAGTTTCGTCTCTGTCCTTAGACAGGGTGCTCTCAGGGGCGACTCCGTCAAAGGACAGAGTCACAACTGAGGAAAATTGTACTGAGAGAGGTGTCCAGCCCTGGCCACACCCTCTCATTGCACCAGAGGGATCGGTGCTCGCACAAAGGCCAGATCAACCAACGGTTGCTGGGGCAATTTTTGTTCCCAGCCCGGGTGTATGCGCTCGGGCTTCCCACATTAAACCGACCTTGTGTCACAATGTGACATCGTGGGGAATCGAGTAAATACAGATTATTATAAATTAGAGCTGGGGCTTTTTAATCTCAGAATTCGTGGGAGAATTGAGCTCAAATCTCGCATTTAGTCCTATAGATTTCATAATATTAGTTTTACTTAATTAGCTATTATGTTTCTCTAACTCTTCAAATCTTGAATATATAACTGATTCTTATTTCTGTTTCCCCATTTTTACACTATATTAATTTTATCTTATATATTGTCCCCAGTTCTGTCACCCGGGAAATCAAAATAATTTTTTGTAAGGAAAATAAGGATTTACGTACATCAAATCGTCTTTAAATTAAGTGGCAGCAGAAGAATTATCGTTGAACTTTTGAAAGATAAGCTTAAACATTAATTCAATACTTAAATGCAGCGATCAATTTTGAGTTCTGTAGTTCATTGATGCCTATCGCATCTAATACTCCCTAGCTATTGTGATGCTGGCCAAACCAAGTGTCCTCCACAGGAGCTAGCATAAATGACGCCCGATAGGGCGGCTTCTAAGATAGTTTATAATAATACGTGCAGTGCAATTTTGGATACAAAAGGAAAATAGGTTTTACTCCCTTCGAACCATGAAAGCACAGGATAATGGCTAGTATAATATATTAATATATATTTTTTAACCTCGTATAATCTGGCAACTCTGAATCTGAATTCAACGAAAATCGTTCCCTGTGCCATTTCTAGGGCTTTTGAATGAGCTATGAATCATTGAAATCGGACCAGGAGGAGTTGCTTAGACACACACACACACACGCACAAACATACACACATACGTTGTACTTTATATATAAGATTCCTCTTTGCCTGGTGTTTAGTTATCGGAAATTGGGGACTTACTGGAAATTTTGCAAAATGGATAATTCCCAGTTTCTTTCTAGTCAAATTTTTTTTAATTATTTATCACCTGAAACTTAAGTTTTTTCTCCTTTTAATTTCATTTTAGTTAATTTTTTATTTATATTGCTTATTTTTGTGTTTTTTTTAAATATATATATATATATATATATATATATATATATATATATATATATATGAAGATATGCCTCATTAAATAATTTAGACTAGTTTTGTCTACGTATTTTAATATGATCCTATCATTCTCATATTCACGGACAAGCTTCTTAGTATCCTTTATAATGGAAGAAAGAAAGTTACCATTATCGGTGCATATTCATTTATTTTGGGCAGTTTCGAAAATACATCTATACTTTTTCATAAAAATAATAAATATGAATTAAACATTCTGTAGCTATCCTTTACACATAGCTTTTACCTTACCAGTTGCAACCCAGATTATGATCTCAGAAAGAAATGGAAAGTGCGTAGGAAACAAAAGTGATTCTCATTGTTACATTGCATTTCTTGCCTTATTTAATGGTAACACGAGTAAAAATATTCGTGAATATGAAATGATAATATTTGTAATTTATTCAATCAGACAAGCCTGAAAGAGAATATGCTGCCTAAATACACCCACACTCATATATAACATATTAATGTATATTTGGGCAGTAACCTGTCTTTCATTAAATACAGCTGATAAGAAAGATTTAGTTATTTTATTTTATAAATTTCTTCCGGCATCTTTACGTTCTTCTGATACTACAGAAGTGTCCGAAAGTGCGTGGGTCCAAAAAACTAAAATAAAAAAATAAATAAATAATAAAAAAATATGGAAAATATTTGTAGTCCGTTACTCATTTTTCTATCCTTTCTATCCTTTTTTATTCATTCTATGCTGTTCTAACTTTTTCTATCATTTCTATCTTTTCCAGCTTTTCGATCCTTTCTATCCATTTCTATTGTTTTTCTATCATTTTTCTATCCTTTTCTTTCCTTTTCTCTCCTTACTTATCCTTTCAATTGTTTTCTATTCTTTTCTATCCTTTTTCTATCCTTTTCATCCTTTCTATCAATTTTCATTGTTTTTCTATCATTTCACTATCCTTTCCATCCTTTTCTATCCTTCTTATCCTTTCCATCCTTTTCTATCTTTTTCTGTATTTTTCTATCCTTTTCTCCCTTTTCTATCCTTTCTGTACTTTTCATCCACTTCTATTCTTTCCAAATTTTTCAAGGCTTTTCTGTCTTTTCTATCCTTTCCTTCCTTTTCTGTCATTTACTATCGTTTCTATCCTTTTCTATCATTTCTATCCTTTTCCATCCTTTCTATCCTTTTCTATTTTATTTCTATCCTTTTCAATCCTTTCCATTCTTTTTTATCCTTTTCTATAATTTCCATATTTTTTTATCCTTTTCTACCCTTTTTTCTATCCTTTCCATCCTTTTCTATTCTTTCTATCCATTTCTATCCTTTTTCATCCTTTCTATCCATTTTTATCCATTTTTTTATCCTTTTCTGCTCTTTGTATCCTTTCCATCCTTTTCTGTCATTTTCTATCCTTTCCATCCTTTTCGATCCTTCTCTGTCCTTTTCGATCCATTTCTGTCTTTTCTATCCTTTTCTGTCCTTTCCTATCCTTTCCATCCTTTTCGATCCTTTTCTGTCCTTTTCGATCCATTTCTGTCTTTTCTATCCTTTTCTGTCCTTTCCTATCCTTTCCATCCTTTTCGATCCTTTTCTGTCCTTTTCGATCCTTTTCTGTCCTTTTCTATCCTTTCCATCATTTTCTGTCCTTTTCTGTCCTTTTCTATCCTTTTCGATCCTTTTCTGTCTTTTCTATCCATTCCATCCTTTTCTGTCCTTTTCTATCCTTTCCATCCTTTTCGATCCTTTTCTGTCCTTTTCTATACTTTTCGAACCTTTTCTGTCGTTTCTATCCATTCCATCCTTTTCTGTCCTTTTCTATCCTTTCCATCCTTTTCGATCCTTTTCTGTCCTTTTCTATACTTTCCATTCTTTTCGATCCTTTTCTGTCCTTTTCTATCCTTTTCGAAAGTTTTCTGTCTTTTCTATCCATTTCATCCTTTTCTGTCCTTTTCTATCCTTTCCATCCTTTTCGATCCTTTTCTGTCTTTTCTATCCTTTCTATCCTTTTCTGTCCTTTTCTATCCTTTCCATCCTTTTCGATCCTTTTCTGTCCTTTTCTATCCTTTCCATTCTTTTCGATCCTTTTCTGTCCTTTTCTATCCTTTTCGAACCTTTTGTGTCTTTTCTATCCATTCCATCCTTCTCTGTCCTTTTCTATCCTTTCCATCCTTTTCGATCCTTTTCTGTCTTTTCTATCCTTTCTATCCTTTTCTGTCCTTTTCTATCCTTTCCATCCTTTTCGATCCTTTTCTGTCCTTTTCTATCCTTTCCATTCTTTTCGATCCTTTTCTGTCCTTTTCTATCCTTTTCGAACCTTTTCTGTCTTTTCTATCCATTCCATCCTTTTCTGTCCTTTTCTATCCTTTCCATCCTTTTCGATCCTTTTCTTTCTTTTCTATCCTTTCTATCCTTTTCTGTCCTTTTCTATCCTTTCCATCCTTTTCGATTTTTTTCTGTCCTTTTCTATCCTTTCCATTCTTTTCGATCCTTTTCTGTCCTTTTCTATCCTTTTCGATCCTTTTCTGTCTTTTCTATCCATTCCATCCTTTTCTGTCCTTTTCTATCCATTCCATCCTTTTCGATCCGTCTTTTCTATCTTTTTCTATCCTTTCCATCCTTTTCTGTCCTTTTCCATCCTTTCCATCCTTTTCTATCCCTTTCATCCTTTTTCTGTCTTTTTTCCTATCCATTTCTATCCTTTTCTGTCCTTTTCTATCCTTTCTATCCTTTTCGATCCTTTTTCTTTTCGATTTTTCTGTTTTTTCCTTTCCATCCGTTTCTGTCTTTTCTATCCTTTCTATCCTTTTCTGTCCTTTTCTATCCTTTCCTTCCTTTTCGATCCGTTTCTGTCTTTTCTATCCTTTCCATCCTTTTCTGTTCTTTTCTATCCTTTCCATCCTTTTCGATCCTTTTCTGTCTTTTCTATCCTTTCTATCCTTTTCTGTCCTTTTCTATCCTTTCCTTCCTTTTCGATCCGTTTCTGTGTTTTCTATCCTTTCCATCCTTTTCTGTCCTTTTCTATCCTTTCCATCCTTTTCGATCCTTTTCTGTCTTTTCTATCCTTTCTATCCTTTTCTGTCCTTTTCTATCCTTTCTATCCTTTTCGATCCGTTTCTGTCTTTTCTATCCTTTCCATCCTTTTCTGTCATTTTCTATCCTTTCCATCCTTTTCGATCCTTTTCTGTCCTTTTCTATCCTTTTCGATCCTTTTCTGTCTTTTCTATCCATTCCATCCTTTTCTGTCCTTTTCTATCCTTTCCATCCTTTTCGATCCTTTTCTGTCTTTTCTATCCTTTCTATCCTTTTCTGTCCTTTTCTATCCTTTCCTTCGTTTTCGATCCGTTTCTGTCTTTTCTATCCTTTCTATATTTTTCTGTCCTTTTCTATCCTTTCCATCCTTTTCGATCCTTTTCTGTCCTTTTCTATCCTTTTCGATCCTTTTCTGTCTTTTCTATCCATTCCATCCTTTTCTGTCCTTTTCTATCCTTTCCATCCTTTTCGATCCTTTTCTGTCTTTTCTATCCTTTCTATCCTTTTCTGTCCTTTTCTATCCTTTCCTTCCTTTTCGATCCGTTTCTGTCTTTTCTATCCTTTCTATCCTTTTCTGTCCTTTTCTATCCTTTCCATCCTTTTCGATCCTTTTCTGTCTTTTCTATCCTTTCCTTCCTTTTGTGTCATTTTTTATCCGTTCCATCCTTTTTAGCCTTTCCATCCTTTTCTGTTCTTTTTCTATCCTTTCCTTCTTTTTCTATCATTTCTATCCTTTCTACCCTATTTATATGCTTTGTTCTCCTTTCCTTCCTTTTCTATCCTCCTATCCTTTTCTATCATTTCTATCTTTTTCTATCTTATTTCTATCCTTTTATATCCTTTCCATTCTTTTCTATCCTTTCCTGTAATTTCGATCTTTTTTTTTATCCTTTTCTACCCTTTTTGTATCCTTTCCATCCTTTTCTATCTTTTTCTATCCTTTCTATCATTTTACCCGAAAGCTAGGTTAATATCTGTTTCACTCTGCCCCTTCTTTACTTCAATGTCCTTTGAGTGTTAAATCTTCCAAACATTCTTTCCTCGTTATATTTCCTAGAAATTTCAACTATAACTTTCTAATTTTAATGTAAGTAACTTTGTAGTGCCCATTTATTTCAGAACTTCCTTGTTGCTCACATGTTCTGTCTAAGACATTCTCAGGATCCATCTGTAAAACCACATGGCCGACCTTATCCGCTATTTCTATATATGTAAATACTTTTACACTTGTGTGAAATTCTTGTATGCTGTACGACTTGTTAAGAAGAATTTTAAAACTTTAACATTTAATACCATCACCCATAAGGAATTAAAAGCGTTATTTTTTTACATAAAAAATAATTAAATGCTAACAATGTGTCCCCAAGTTAGCTATTTTAAATAAACATATAAAATTAAACTTATGAAAAAATATTACCATGCGAAAAAAGAAAATCTGATCATATGAATAAAAATCGTTTCCTTTAAAATATATTTTTTTAAGTTTGTGTAGAGTCATTAGTCTTCAGTTGTCATCGAATTTGATCTCTTTGTGATTAAAAAAAATGGGTATGAGTTATAACGTCAAAATCTATATAAAATTCTTTTGTTACACGATATAAAAATAATGTCATGAATCCACTGTAAGAAAAAAATAATTGAATTCTATTACATAATAATTTTTGCTCGAATGTGTTACGATACATAAGGTTTCCACAATTGTATAGACTATTGTACTATTAAATTCTATTTATTTTAACGACTTCCAAATTAAGAGAGGTATATATTAACTTTAAATAAGAGAAATATAGTAGCCAATCAAACATGCCTAGCTTTTAACAAGTAGCTTTCAAAAGATTTCACACGTGTTCTCTCTTTATTTGAACCTTTGATACACTCACTCAAATATCTACTGTAAAAAAGCAAGTCAGTCTTGTGACTCAAGAATTTCGCTTTTTCTTCTTTTCTTTCTTTCTTTCTTCCGTTCATTCTTCCATTCTTTCTTTCTTCCATTCATTCTTCCATTCTTTCTTTCTTTCTTTCTTTCTTTCTTCCTTTCTTTCTTTCTTTCTTTCTTTCTGTGCGCAAAATTGTCTTTTAATTCAATTTTCTCGATCCACAGAGAGAATCGGTGGGCCACGTGCACTCGCTCTCGCTTGTTCAAACGAACGCTGAGAGTGGGTCGACGTGGCCAGTGAGTCGCACACGCGCAGCAGATACGGCGATCGAGGGGGCGCCACCAGTCGCGCGACCTCACAAATGGCGCGAACTGCTCATTACGGCCCATTCTTACGGGCTGCCGAAAAAAAAAAAGTAAAAATAAAATAAACGAACAAAACTAAAAAAAAAAAAAAAATAAAATAAAACTATAGAGACGAAAATAAAAATGTCGTTCTCTCGCTAATACATAGACACGAGCACATACATAGAGACGCGCGCATACATAGACACACGCGCTCGCGTACAAAGGGGAAAAATATAAATTAAATAAAAATAAAATAAGGGGAAAAAGAACGAAAGTGTTTTCTTTTGGCACCGCTAGATGTCGTCAGCGGCAGCTGGCATTTCTTAGTGAAAGTGAGTCGCTCATCGCCCAGAGATGAAAGAGATGCAAAGATGTGTGAACAACGGTGGGGAAACGTTTGGAACTGGGGGGGGGGAAGAAGTTA